AAGATGATTCTGTGAAATTTGGTGAAAACGGATGTCATTTGACGTGATTCGGACCTAAATTGCAAAAATTGATGTTTTAAGAAGTTCGAGGAAATTCTTTGATTTTGAGGTTTAATTCGTTGTTATTGAGGTTATTTTGGCGATTTGATCACACGGATAAGTTCGTATGATGTTATTGAGTTAGTGTATGTTTGGTTTTGAGCCCCAAGGGCTCAGGTGAGTTTCGGCTAGGTTCCGGGGTGTTTAAATTTAGGAAAAATACTGTTGTTGCACCAGTTCTGGTGTAACCATACCTGCGGTTCTTGGGCCGCAGATGCGGACTCGCAGGTGCGAGAAGTGCATCGCAGGTGCGAAAGCCTTCGCAGATGCGGGCAAAGTTTCGCAGAAGCGGTTCCGCAGGAGCGGATTTATTCCTCGCAGATACGGCCCCTGTGGGCCAAGTCATTTCCGCAGTAGCGACCATTTTTCCGCACGTGCGGTTGCGCAGATGCGACCCACGAGTCGGAGATGCGGAAGTCGAGCAGTGAGTCTTTTAAAAACATAACTTCAGTGATTTTTCTTTCAAATTTTCACAAAAATAAAAGAACTAGGGCGACTTTCTCAAGAGATTTTCTTCCCAAATCACAAGTAAGTATTCATTAACTGATTTCTTTCAACTATCTAATGTTTTTCATCAACTTTTATCAATAATCTTAGAGTTGTAATGGTAGAAAATTGGGGAATTGGGTAGAGTTAGGGCTTTTTGATTATTTGGGAATTTGACCTCGTTTTGGGGTCGGATTTCAAAAAAGATTATATATTCGGGCTCGTGGGTGAATGGGTGATTGGATTTTGGTCCGAACCTCGTGTTTCGACCAAGCGGGCCCGGGGTCAATTTTTGGATTTTTGGAAAGAATGATTGGAAAGTTATAATTAAGTATTGGAATTGGATTATTTAGTGTTTATTGATGTTATGAAGTCGATTATGTCTAGATACAATTGATTTGGAGCCGAACTCGAAAGGAAAGGCGGTGCTTGAGGCTTGAGTTGGCCGTCGAAGTTCGAGGTAAGTATTTGGTCTAACCTTAGCTTGAGGGATTAGGAGTGTGTCCTATTTGTTATTTGTTTCTTGTTGAGTACGACGTATAGGCATGGTGGTGAGTATCTATACGTTGGTGTCGAGCATCACCGTGGGTCTTATATTGTGATTTTTATGACTTCGTTGTATTATTCATGCCTTGGTGAAAATTTCTAATTGTTGTGCAAAGTTGTGAAAAGAATTGTGACCTATGAACGTTGAGGAGCGTTGGCTCCAGTTGTATAACGAATTGTGAAAGTATAAGTGATAATTGAACCTCTAGAGCAGTGGCTCGAGTGATGAAGTGAATTGTGAAGTAAAAGTGAGAAAGAGAAGAGATCATTATGTTGCCCCTTGTCGGGCTATTGTTGAGTTGTGGTTCCCTTGTATTGTGTTCTTAATTGATATTACGGATACTTAGGTTGATGATTCTTTGTGTTAGGTAAGGATTATGGTTATAGCTGAGGTAGTTAGATGTTGGAACAAGTGTGGGTATAGCTGAGGTAGATAGGTGTTGTAACAAGTTTGGGTATAGCTGAGGTAGATAGTTGTGGTAACAAGTTTGGTTATAGCTGAGGCAGTTAGATGTTGGAACAAGTTTGGTTATAGTTGTTTCTTTTTCCCTTGCCGGGATAGTGTAGACCTTTTGATCCTTTGTCGGGACTCTCATTATAATTGTAAGTATATATATGGATCGGGTTGCACGCCGCAACAATATTATATATGGATCGAGTTGCACGACGCAACAATATTATATATGGATCGGGTTGCACGCCGCAATAATATTATATATAGATCGGGTTGCACGCTGCGATAATATTGTGTATGGATCGGGTTGTGCGCCGCAACAATATTATATATGGATCGGGTTGCACGCCGCAACAATATTATATATGGATCGGGTTGCACGCCACAACAATATTATATATGGATCGGGTTGCACGCTGCAATAATATTATATATTTGGATCGGGTTGCACGCCGCAACAATATTATATATGGATTGGGTTGCACGCCGCAACAATATTATATGGGAGCGGGTGGTACGCCTACCATGAGTTATAATAAAATGGGAGCGGGTGGTACGCCACCACGAAATATAATGAAATGAGAGCGGGTGGTACGCCTACCACGAGATATAGGGAATGGGATCGGGTTGCATGCCTGCAACAATATATGAAAAGAAAGTGAAATCTGCCTTTGTTTTCCTTATTCTTGTTAGTGGTTGGATTTTTGATTCCTTAATAATTCTCTTGATATTCTGTTTTTACTTGTTATTCCCCGAAGCATGTTTCCCCCTCCCATCTTTATTTGTTTATCTCTGCTTTACTTTCCGCTGTATATTATACAACTGCACAAGTTCATTTGGTAGTCTGGTCCTAGCCTCGTCACTACTTCGCCGAGGTTAGGCTAGGCACTTACCAGCACATGGGGTCGGTTGTGCTGATACTACACTCTGCACTCTTTTGTGCAGACCCCAGTGTTGTAGACTTCGGAACGTAGGTTGGAGGCTATTTTCAGTTCACGCGGAGATCCAAGGTAGACCTGCAGGCGTCCGCAGGCCCTGGCGTTTCCTCTATCCTTATTTCCTGTTTCATTTTCCTTATATTCAGAAACAGTGTATTGATATTTTCTTCACACTTTGTATGTAGTAAATCTTAGACCGTCTGTGATACTGTGACACCAGTTCTGGGTAGTCGAGGTTCAAACAGTTGTATTAGAAATTCGTGTTCAGATAGCTTATGGCTCCTTTCTTTCGCTTATGTTAAATTCCGTTGTTTAAATGTTATTATTATTATTAAAATTGCTAATAAATACAAAATGAGTAGAAAGGGTAAATTGTGAAATTTATTGGCTTGCCTAGCTCGTACTAGTAGGCGCCATCACGACTCCCGAAGGTGGGAATTCGGGTCGTGACAAAACCAAAATAAAATATTAGAATAAAATATTCAAACCAACACACTTTAATGGTATCACATTAATAGTTTATTCTATTTTATTATTAAATGTTGGTATATTATTAGAAATTATTTGGAATACTACTTCTCTTTAATAGTATATTCTAGTAATGTTGATGTAATATTAGATTTTAATTGGATACTTCAATAGAATATTCTAGTATTATATTTGAATATTACGACACACATTAGAATACTTTTGAGTTGTAAATAAAAAATTAAGTTGAATATGTGAGTGAATTAATAATATAATATAATTTGAATATCATTGTGTAGTTATTGAATATTATCATAGATGTAGTGAATACTCTAAGTTTTAAATTAAATAATATATAAAGTAAATGGTATCAATATAAAAAAACAAATATGCCTCTTTATTTTAAGAATATTATTGTAAATGTATATTGAATATATAAACTAAATAATATCTATGGTTTAAATTAAATACTGCTATTTATTATGGAATGCATATTTAATTTCCTTACTTTTAAGAGTTTGTATTGTAAAAGGTAACGTATTTTCTAGGAATATGATAAACTTGAGTAATTGGCTTTGATAGGAGAGAGGTAAATAGCAATATTCAATTCATTACCTCTAATTATGGCTATATTTAAGGGATATTATCCTATATAATCGTGACGGTTGGATAAAGAAGGTATATGAAGTAATTATTTTAAGGATTTTTAACTTTAGGATATATGTTGTAAAGAGGCCATGTAGATAGGTATATGGCGTAACTTCCCCAAAAAATAATACTCCATATCACAACAAAAAGATTAGACCAGACTCTCCGCATAATTTACTATATTGATTGGTTTCTAATTTTTGTTTTTCGCATTGCAGGAATTTATGTATTATTTATGTGGGATATAAAATAAAAATATAATATAACTAAAATAGCTAGAATGACAAAAATAACCCTGTCTAGCAAATAATCCTTTTTTTGTTTTTTTAACTTTTAAAAGTAGGTTGGGTAAAATGTAAGATTCGGAAAGCACATGCTTGCACCTTATCTCGTTCTCTTTTACTTAGAGCTGCTATTATGCACTAGCTAAATAATTGGTATATGAATAGGTATTAAAACCTGCCTAAAGTCTCTCTATCCAAAAATTCCGAGTTCAAACCATGAATATAAAATCGACTTTCACAGGAGCCATTTTACCGAAAAAACTTTGATAAAGAGCACTTTACCTTAAAAATAAGAAAAAAATTGGTAGAAATTCAAATTAGTCGAACACCAAAACGAGTATCAGATGGGAATCAAAACAAAAGGAAACTAAGTCTTCCACTAGCTCTAATAAAGGATGTGCCTTTTGCTTTAGCTTACAGACGAACCACTTCTTGTTGCTGTTACTTCATATATATTTCTTTCTTTTTTTTCTTTCTATTTTTGCAGCACTTTGATCTATAACAGAGGAGAAGCCCAGATGCTCCGGTAAAAAGGTGCGAGCGGCTGGTTGTGGAGGGCACGAGAAGAGGTAGAGGGCGGCGTAAGAAGTATTGGGGAGAGGTGATCAGGCAGGACATGGCGAGGCTTCAAATTTCCGAGGACATTGCACTTGATAGGAAGATATAGAGGTCGATTATTAGGGTTGTAGGTTAGGAGGTAGTTGAATCTTGCCTTACTTCGTACCTTTGTAAGACTAGTCTGGTAAGGTTTTTGTCTAAGATAGTTGCGTCTTACCATTTCACTTTTCAGTGCCGGACCTATTTACTAGCTATCGTTTTTGCTTTGCATCTTTCTTCTAGATTTCATGTTGTTCCTATTTTTTCTATGATTTCTGTGGTGATACTGATATTGTCTCCTTTTGTCTTCTTGAGCCGAGGGTCTTTCGAAAATAGCCTCTCTACTCCTTCGGGTAGGGGTAAGATCTGCGTACACACTACCCTCCCCAAACCCCACTAGTGAGATTTTACTGGGTCGTCATGGTCGTTGTTTGATCTAAAACAGTAAAGGAGAAGCTTTAAACTTTTGAAGCAACAAAATAAGATTGACCATAAGCCAGGCAGACTGATTCATTAACTAAGTTAAATTTCAAACAATTGGATGCTTACTTCTTGCTAATGAAGCATCTACTACTTTTCCTAACTTTTATCTTTTCTTTCTTTGCTACATCTTTCAATCATATATATTGCATCTACACACTAGTGCTTACATTTACACCAGAGAAACAAGACAAATACCAAAGGAGAGCACTTTGGTTTATATTACGTTAGATTTTGAACTGCACCTGTTATCATGTGACACAAAAATTGATAACAAGGCATGTTGGTGTATGTAGCAGCCAATTTGGTTCTTAAATTTTAGTCTTCTAAGCTATGTTCCGTCATTGTCCATCGACATTAACGGGTTTCTTATCTTCATCTATCGATCTTGATCTTTGAGAATTTTTACGCGATCCTTGGAAAGGAGGCTGTGTTTCGGGGTCATACTTTTGGGAGGCAAGGTAGTTAAGAGCAGTGACAATATCGGCTATGAGTGGCCGCATATTAGGTTGCTCCTGGACACACATTGCAGCAATTGCAAGTGCTTGGTATAAACCCCTCACTGGATAATGACCTTCTAGTACTGGATCTGCCATCTGGTGGAATTTCTTCCGATCTTTGAAGAGTGGTCGCGCCTACACATGAAGAGTTAATCATGTTAAATAACATGCAGATTCGCGTAATCATAAAACAGAACAGAAGTTGGCATTGTCAAATCAGGTTTTAGGGGCTCATTCTTCTATACCAAATTGGAATCAGCAGCAACTGGAATGATACGAGTGCCCAAGCGAATAGGTAAAGTTTATTTCAACAACTAATTGTTACCTGTTTTCAGTTTTCCCCAATGGAAACAAATATATAGAAAGTGCCATTTAAAGAGAACTATTATGGTACTAACAATAATATCCGAAGTTTCATAACATGATGAAAAAAGAAGTTTCTTAACGAGTCAAGGAGTGGTGCTCAACTTAAGTTTGGTTCATCTGATATATCAGGCATAGCTGCTTAATATATGCTTCAACGTTACAGAGGCAAGAATACCAGCCATATATACCTGATTACCATGCCCGGAACGCTAGTGGCGATGTGGAGCACATATTTCTGTATTGTACTTCTTTCATTTTTAAACAACAACAACAATAAACCCAATATAATCCCACAAATGGGGTCTGGGGAGGGCAGAGTGTACGCAAACCTTACCCCTACCTTGTGAAGGTAGAGAGGATGTTTCCCATAGACCCTCAGCTCAAGGAACTTCTTACATTTTTAAACAATTTGTTCAAAAGGCACAAATGCAATAACAATCTGATTAAACCAATACAAGATTCTTAAGCGAGATCCATGTATGGCCGGGGGGAGAAGAAAAGGGAAGGGGGAAAGAAATGTAGACCTTGACCTTCGCACGGAAAAATGTTGGTAGAATTAGCTCTTAATAAAAGTAGCCCCATTCCTTAGTCTCCCATGGCTGCTTAAATCAATCACAGGCAGTCTGGACAGTGCAGCCAGCGGGATATCAGAATCTAAGGGCACTACCCAAATGTAAATGACTACCCCCACTCTCCACCCCTTTCAATATGACCAAAAATAAAAAGAAGACTCTGTAAGTGAGCTTCAGCTCTTTCAACCAGGAAGCAGTAAACTTATAGGCTAAGATCTACTGTCTTGACCTTCTAAATTGTTATGTATAAAAGACATTCAAAGGGGTTTATCAAAAGGTTTTGGGTCACTACAAAACTCCAAACATCGCCTTATGTTTTACGTTGTATGCTCAGAGTCTGTCAAATAATATAATAAATCAGAGCTAACTCTAGCAAGCTCATCCTCACACACTCGTAAATTTACATTAACGTCCACATTTATATCCAGAGCTAGATTACATATATATAGTCCAGTATAAGAAGACATCCAAAGCGGTTTATACATGTCTTAGGCCACTCGATTCATTACCTTAATATTTTCGGTTTGATGCTCAACTTCTATTACATAAACCACAGGCAAGCTAACAAGCAACAGGAGCGGACAGACTCTGTCTTCTTTGTTAAAACATTAATAAAGGAGTCAAAGATATCTTACCCAAGCAACTAGGTTTTGCTCAGCAGCAGATTTTGTATTGTCGATAGCTTTCCTGCCCGTGATGATCTCCAGAAGAACAACTCCAAAGCTGTAGATATCTGATTTGAAGGTCAGTTGGCCAGTCATAGCATAATCTGGTGCACAGTAACCGTATGTGCCCATCACTCTGGTAGAGACATGGGTCTTGTCTCCAAGGGGGCCCACTTTAGCCAATCCAAAATCAGATAACTTTGGATGGTACCCCTCCCCAAGCAGAATATTTGAGCCCTTCAAGTCACGATAGATAACAGGCGGTTTCATTTTGTCATGCAAATATTCCAGGCCCCTTGCAGCACCTGCAGCTATCTTCATTCTCGTGTTCCAATCAAGCCGTTTTTTATCTGGCCAAGGGTCTGCAAATGTACGTTGTTTTATCAAGGCTAAGGAAATTAAAATACAATTCGAGAACACAAATCCAACGGTGTATGGCATACCATGTAAATGGTCTTCTAATGAACCAAGAGCCATGTATTCATAGACCAGCACCCTCTGATCTCCCTCGACACAATAACCGATTAATTTGACAAGATTAGGGTGGTCAGCCATACTTAACGTGAGTACTTCCACAATGAATTCCCTATTCCCCTGACATCCATCGGGATTGAGCTGTTTGATGGCTACAATCTGCATTAAACAAAATATATCAGGCATCAGTAAATAAAACCAATTAACCTTCTACTCAACCACCATTTGGTCTCGTGTGGGCTGCAAACTTTGATTAGTCTTACAATAATGAAGTCGAGCTGACCTGACCAGTATCTGCCAAACGACCTTTGTATACTTTTCCAAAGCCTCCTTCACCCAAGAAGTAGGCTGCTTTGAAATTTTCTGTTGCAGCTACCAGCTCATCAAATTTAAACGCCCGCGCCTTATTCACTCCATTAATTTTAATACCATCATTTTCCCCTTCTCCGGAAATGCTGCTACAATCTCCATCTGTCCTAGTTGTAGATTGACTTGCATCTTTAGCCTCTTCTTTCTTCACAACTTTATGTTCATTTGCCTTTACTATATCTAAGCCACAAAAAAACACAAATAGGCACCAAAAACCATGAGCCCCATTTGAAGTAGAAAACGACATGAACAAGCACATGTATAAGTAAAAGCCAAAATATACATGATGCATAACCTAAATGATTCTCACAAAATAGTATACACATGATAACTCCAATGATTACATAATCTAAAAGGAAAGAAAGAGTTTTGAGCACAAAAGACAAAATTAAGAAAGAGATATTTAAATTATATTATATATTATACTTTTGTGCCTTGAACCGAGGGTGTATCGGAAACATCCTCTCTACCTTCCACCTTCCACATAGGAGTAAGGTACGAGTAAGGTGTGCGTACACGCTAAACTCCCGACCTCACTTGTGGGACTTGTGCGATTACACTGGGTTTTTTGTTGTTGTTATATTATAACTCTGTGGTACCTCAACAATCAGCAGCATCAAAACCAACCAAAAAAAATATAAATAAATTAACAAATAGGAAAAAACAAAAAAGTCAAAAGGTCCAAAAGCTGAGGTCTACAATTGCTGGTACCCTAGAGACTTCCTAGAAAAACACCCTGATTCAAAAAAAAATTAGACTGTCAAATAAAAACAGCACCGACACATGACCCATCAACAATTCAACTTTATTTCATAAAAAATAAAGAAAAAAATCAATAATTTCAACCTACCCTTTAACATGCATAGCAAGAAATAAAGATCAAGAAAATAAAAATCAAATCTTTAGATACATGCAATGATAAAAATAAAAAAAACCAATCTTTATGCCAAAAAAATTCAATCTTTGATCAGTTTTCAATAACCCCACATTGAATTTTCCAAAGAACACAAATCAAAAGACAATTATTATTACTAATCAAGAAAATGATTAAATCAAAACATAGGTAATAAAGCAGAAAACCTGTACTGGGTTGTGATTGATCATCCTTTTTGTATTGATTATTGGGTGGTGGAATTCTCTTTTTTTCTCTTTTCTTGATTGATGATGAATCACCAGAACAAGGGAAACAGCCCATGGCCTTCCACTTTCCAAAAATACCCAACAAACTATAAAATCTCTCTATAAATATATCTCTCTCTCTTTCTATGTGTGTGTGTGTGTGTGTGTGTGTATAGTGAGAATTTTCTATATGTATGTAAGCTATTTTCTCTCTTCTTCAGAGCCCCAAAAACAAAAGAGTTACAAAAACTTTAGGCAGAGTTTTGGCTTTTTGGTGAGAGAGAAAAAGAAAGAAAGAGGAAATAGAGAGAAGGAGCTATACTTACTTTAATGTATGTTTTTCTCTTTTTTTTTCTTTCTTAAAGTATGTTTTTTTAAGGGGGTTTATGGTGCTAATCAAGTGCAAAATTTACTAATTGGGTCAAGCCAATCAACAGCTTCCACCTGTCATATTAGGGACTTTTTGGTCAGTTCGTATATTTGTGTCCCATTGTATTCTTGTGTTTTCTCTTTCTTTTACTCTTTTTTTCTTCGTTTGCTCTTACTTTTACTTGAAGTAACATTAACTCAAATAATCCAAATTTATATTAGATAAATTACAAAAAAGAAAAGAAAAGATAATTGGCTCGTGAATAAAGCTATGCATAAGAAATTAATAATTATTTTACTATTTGATGCATTTATTTATTTATTCTGCAAAAGTTTGGTCATTACATTAAAAATGTAATATATAATGAATAATATAAACGTTTTAATTTTAACTTGTTTTTTGTGACATCATTAGTATGCATATCTCTAGACTATTTTATCGGGTATATGTTATCTCCCACGAACATAGGTATTGATAGGCTTACGCGTATTGAAACAAATCACTCGATGTATTTTGCCCCATCTATGATTTCAACCCTGGTCTTCAAGACTTTTATCTGTTTCATTAATTGTCAAGTCACACCTTTAAGTGCAATTTAATTTTATTTATAAATTAAATAAAGTAAAAAAATAATACGTAGAAAACTTAAGGTTCTTTTGATCCTATAGTTATTGTATAAGAGGGACTATATTTTCATATTGAACTAATTAAAAGTGGAGTAGTGATTCTAACCGTCCCACCAATTCACCTCATAACATCCCATTATAATAATCTTGTCTTTATAGTTTACTCATTATGAAACAAATAATCTAGGTGACCACCAAAAATAATAGCGGGATGAATTAGATGCCTTCATTCTTAATCAAAAGTCTCAAATTTAAGTCTTAAAAATGAAAATATCATGTTAGAGAATGCTTTTCTTTTTAACGAGTCTTAAGCGATATAAATTCAAATTAATTAGAGTTCCAAGTAGATACAAGTTATCAGGAAGGCAACCAAAAAAAATTATGTTAGGGAATACTTCATCCTTTAATGAATTTTAAAAGATATGGATTTTAATTGGTCTATCAGAAACAAACTCTCTACCTCCACAAGGTAAGGGTAAGGTTTGTGTACACATTACCCTTCCCAGACTCTATTATGTGAAATAATACTAGATATGTTGTTGTTGTTGTTGTTATTGTTGTTGATATGAATTCTAATTAGTTTGGGTCCCAAAGCGGATACATGTTATTAGGTTGGCAACCAAAAAAAATATGTTATGAAATACTTCCTCCTTTAAGGAATTTTAAAAGAAATATGTTAGGGGATACTTCCTCCTCAAACCCCATTATATAGAATTATGCTGGTTATGTCGTCGTCGTTGTTGTTCTTGTTGTTGTTGTTGTTGTTGTTATTGTTGTTGTTGTTGTTGTTGTTGTTGTTGTTGTTGTTGTTGTTGTTATGTATTCTAATTAGTTGGGGTCCCAAAGCGGATACAAGTTATCGGGTTGGCAACCAAACAAAGTTATGCTAGGGAATGCTTCCTCTTTTACTCCCCGGTCACAATAAGTGACCAATTTGCTTTTTTATTTTGGTCCAAAATAAGTGTCCATTTATATAATCAAGAAAGAATTCAATTTATTTTTACAAGATTACCCTTATGTACATATCCCTAAAAAAATTTCTTACTCCTCACATTAAATATTTAATTAAGGGTAGTTTAATCATACTATGTATTTTTGTATGGAATTTAGTATTCTCTTACTGGACGTGCCAAAAATATATTGATCACTTATTGTGGATCGGGGGGAGTAATGAGTTTTAAGCAATAGGAATTTGAATTAGTAGGGTTCCAATGCGGATACAGATATCGGATTGTTAACCAAAAGAAATTAATCCACGTGGCAAACGCTCCATATCACGCCCGCATCAGATTATTGCCATCGAAGCTTCGTTAATGTTACCTGAAGGTCTTTTAAGTGACAGACCGTGTATTACAGTTGTGTGTGTTTCACTTTCGGTGGGTCCCAATAATGTGTGCTGTGACTTACAGTAGGTGAGAATTAGCCACCTACGCGGCTTCTGTTTAAGAGTTAATCGCGAGCCGGCGCCGATTTAGAACGTAAGTTTGACTCTTTAAACTAAGCCAATAAGATATCGACAATTTTAAATAGAGATTTACTCTTGATTGTAGAGAATTATTGCTTTTGTAATTAATTGCGGTTTAAGATTTGACCAAACAACTAATTTAAGAGTCAGAGAATTTTCAGAACTTTGGCTGAATATTCGGGAAAGGAATATGTAGTTAAGAATTTATTTTCTTGAAAAGTAAAACAAAAGCAATTCTACTATCTAGGTTTCTTGCTTTACAATAATCCAAATAAGTTAGAAGTATAATTCACAGTGTTTTTCCTTGCTTTTTTTTTTCTCGTCCAAGAAAAAGTATAATATGACCAACATAGCTGCATTTATAAATAATCTTTACTTTATTTGCAAGTAGAGATTGTTACACAAGAAATAATTGAAATTTTATTGTAACTCCAACTATTTTTTTTCCAACTTCCGTTTAAATTTTTTTTAAAAGTGTCAATAGTAATAACTATTGTGTTTAAAAATCTAATAAACATGATGATTAAGGTTTATTTTAGTGGTAGAGTACACCCAACTTAATCATCAATTGATAAATTGGAGGTTCGACTTCTTAAATTACACAAAGAATAAGTGAATATTCTTGATCCTTCTAGGTGAGGTCGTGAAAAAAACTAAAATTAATGTTACAAATAACAAAATGTAGGCCAACAGTGATTATTTTTTAGTCAGAAGTGTTTTTTTCCAAAAAAATTAAGGTGTTTGGCCAAGCTTTTGGAAGGAAAAAAGTGCTTTTGAAGATAAGCGAAAGCAGTTTCGGAGAAGCAGAAAAAAGTAACTTCTACCCAAAAGCACTTTTTTGAAAAGCACTTTTGAGAAAAATACACTAAGAAGCAGTTTTTAAAAGCTTGGCTAAATATTAATTGCCGCTCAGAAGTACTTTTCAAATTAATTAACCAAACATAAACTGCTTCTCTCCAAAAGTATTTTTGAGAAAAGCAATTTTGCAAAAAAAAGCACTTCCTAAAAATGAACCGACTTTTGCAGCTTGGCCAAATATGCTATATGGCCAGTAAATATGAACATTGACAACCACTTAACATAGTGATTTCTAAAAATTCTCTAAAAAAAAAAATTCACTTCCAATTCTATAGTTCTTCAAATTTGTTCATGAATAAGACGTGCACTTTACAACAAATATTAAAATATATGGTCTTCACCAACTTGGCAAAATAAGCAGTCCCTTCTCCACACGTGGAAAACATATATTGTCTTAAACAAATAACAAAAGATTAAAGTCCATGTTCTCCTACGTATCCTTCTTCTTTTGTCGGTCCACCAAATCACTATTGTGGTACTCCATACGAAATCACATTCCACAATAAATATTCTTATGATACATACCTCCATCTTCGTGCACGAATTGATTACCACTCCCTACTGTCCAAAATAAGTGATTTTTTGGCCTTTTTTTTTGTGGTCCAAAATAAGTGATTTTTCCAGATTTCAGGAATGAATTAATTATTTTTTTCCTACATTGTCCTTGAAGTAAATGGTGTTGGAATATGTGTTAGGAGTGTTTATGTGAGATAGTAAAGGTTAATATGGTCAATTCTATTGCTAATTAATGCTAAAAAGTGAATTTTTTAATTTGTGTGAAAACATCCAAAAAATCACTTTTTTTGGACCGGAGGGAGTAATATATAAGATTTAGCCAGAGCTAGATCTAAAAATTCAAGTTAATATACAATAATACTCGAAAAAATGAATTGGATTTTAAAATAGATATTCTTATACATTTAAAGTCTGTTTGGAAAGTTATCCGGTAATTGAAATTGGTGTAATTACTAGGATAGTAATTACACAGTCTAGTAATTATGACGACGTATTTGTTTGTTATAACGTAATTACAGTATAATTACAAGCGTATTCTTTGGTTGCACAAGTATAATTATACGGTTAGATTAAATTTTAAATGAAATAAGTATCAAAACTTAAAAGTTAATATAATAAATACATGCCTATAAATAATTTTTATAAGTATAAATGATATTAGATTTGGTATTTAAAATGCATATCTTTTGTTGAATATACACTAACTAGTTATCATATATTTATAACTAATATTAAAAATAATTGATATATATTTTCTAAATTAATAATATTTAGTTTAACTAATTATAAAACTAAAAATAAACGTTTTGTAAGAACGCCATGAAATGGATGTTTGATAAAATAAATTAATGTTTATAAATACAATGTCATAACATCATGCAAATGTTTGACAAAATTATTTTATCAATTCTAACTAAAAAAATAAACAATATGCAATATGAAATAACAAGCCAATACTACTAAAGCCTCATTTTTTTTTTTTTAAGATTAAGACGTCTGAATCTGAATACACATCTGAATATCAAGATGTGTATTAAGGTTAAGACATCTGAATCTGAATACACATATGAATATATTAAGATGTGTATTAAGATCTGGATAGAAATAACTAAGACTGTTTGATTTTTAACATCTGAATGTATAAAATTGTCTTTATTTGAAAATTAATAAACATAAAATTCAAATGAAATACTAACTAATCTAATATTCTATCAATAAAATATATAGTTTTTTAAAATATGATAGTTGTTGGTGGTGATGGCTAACGGGTGGATGTCGACTGGAGGCGGTGGTTGGTGGTAGTTTTGGTTGATGATGGTGGTTCATGCTAGTAGCTAGTAGTGATTGGTAGTGGTGGCGATTATGATTGAGGATGGTGGTGGTGGGTGGTGATAGTTAATAATGGCGGGTGGTGGTAATAGTTGTGATTGAGGAAGGTGATGGGTAGGTGGTGGTAGGTTATAAGATGGGGCAGTACCGGTTGTGGTTGTTGATGG